AGGCTTGTTCTCATTCTCGCTGTCTTGACAGAAACCAAGGTTCTTGAGATCAATAACAAACTACCAATCTATAAATGTGGATACTTTGAAGGTGCAAAACATGGAGACTTGGCCTTTCTTCAACTCGGTAAAGTTTGTAAAACTGATTCTTATTTTGTACCATTTGCACATATACATTTGCGTTGTGCTATATAGTCATAGACCATATGCTTAACATATTTTCCTATGACTTGGAAACCTATCGATGTTTTTCTTTTTTCGGTATTCAGTAAATTGGTGGGTATGTACAAAAAAGTTTAGTCATAAACCCTTGCGGTTGAAAGGTGTGTAACTCGCATATATTTTTCACAAGGGTTTAAGACTAAACTTTTTCATTAGTATATTCCTTTTCAAGAGTCTCATATATCAAAGTGGATAATGCTGTTTTTAGCTGCCCTAGTGTTTGTTGTACTGACAAACTACATTTTTCGTAGGTAACTGGAGACTTGAGACCCCTCAATTCAAGGAAGGTGGCTGTGCAACTCAAAGTGTTCAAAATTCTCGGCTTTGTAAGTTCACTGAAACTCTTTCTGCTCTATAAAAAGAACATGTACTGATTGAGACAGTTTAAACCACCATATGCTTCTCTGTTCTGACCAGTTAATTGGTGTTTTGCTGTGTAGATTCCTGTTAAAGCTCCTGATACCGCACGTGGTGAACTGGAGATTACATATGTAGACGAGGAACTACGGTCAGTGAATGAAAGTTTTTCATGTTTTTATGAACAAACAAACATCTAAGGAATCTTAAAACAATGTGTTTTCTTTTTGCAGGTTATCAAGGGGTGACAAAGGCAACTTGTTTATATTGAAGATGTTCGATCCCACTTATCGAATCCCTCTCTGATCTCTCGGTTTTTACTATCGAAAAAATGGTTCCTGAACCATCATACATACCTTGTCACTTGTTCTGTCTCTCTTCATCATGTATAGATATGAATGTTTCTACAAACTTAAAATCTAATAAGATCAGAAGAAAGAAAGAGACGAGTTCTCCTTGCAGCTTCAACTTTGTTCTGATAGACATTGCATTATGTGATTCAGATGAAAAAAGCTCACAACTTTATTGGAAAATCTAAATATGCTTGAAATGTGATAAACGACGCCGTATGATGCTGGCGATACACAGACCTCTCGTTGCGACCCTTTCTTCTTTCTTCCTCCTCCTGACAAAAACAGAGTCTCTATGAATCAAAGCAACAAACTTTGAGAAGAAAGACGAAATTTTTTTGATGGGTTTCATCGCTCTGCAATCTTGGAGCAGAGGAGCTTCAGCTTTTGTTCATCTCCTTCGTCCAGGTAGGTAAGTTAGATTCTTTACTGAATATGATCAAATTCCGTCAAAGATTCTGAATGAATTGTGCTTATTTGATTGATCAGTTGGTCCGAACCCTAATCTCTATGATGATGCTCGAGCAGTACAAGCGGTCAAATTCCTTAAGTTTGATGTAAGAGCCTCTTCGAGTAGTCGTAAATCAATTAAGAAACTCAAAAAAGAATCTCAACAAAGTAAAGACATAACAAGGACAAGTGTTACAGAAGAAGAAGAAGTTGCTCAAGTTGATGACTTTTCAACTTCAAAGGATTCCATTGATGATATTGTTGTTGTTGCTGCTCCTCGAGACAAAGTGCTTCAAGCCTGTATTGTAACTTCTGGTTTGATGTCTGCATTAGCCTTGATCATCAGGAAGGTTTAAATCAAACCCTATTGAAAAGTTTTGGTTTTGTTGTGATTCTAACATTTGCCATCTAACTGGTTTGGTTTTCCACTTGCAGGCGTCTCATGTTGCTTCAAGTGAAGGATTATTACCTGTCCCTGACTGCTCTACAGAATTACCATGTAACAACAACTGAAGAAAGAAACTTGATTACTTGGTGTAATAATAATCACTGGAGAGAATCAATAAATTGTTTGTTCTTTCTTGTAGTTGGGTTTGAAACTTGGCATCTTGGGTTAATTGCTGGAATTGTTGTGTTTATATCATCAAGCCGGTTCCTGCTACTAAAATCTTGGCCAGATTTTGCTGATTCTAGTGAAGCAGCAAACCGTCAGGTAAAAACGTTACTCGATATAGTTGCATTGATTTCTACGGGTCTCTAAACTCACTTATTGTCTCTCCTTTTGGATTCACTACTTGCAGATTCTTACTTCGCTCGAACCTCTAGATTACCTTGTTGTTGCAATTTTACCTGGAATTAGTGAGGTAAGAAATTAGCAATCAAATTCTTTTGCTTTAAAGTTTGGTTGATTGATGTAGAGATGATGATGGTTTCACAGGAGTTGCTCTTTAGAGGTGCATTGATGCCTTTGTTCGGAACCAATTGGAATGGTATTGTAGCAGCTGGACTCATCTTCGGTTTTCTTCATCTCGGAAGCGGAAGAAAGTATTCTTTCGCAGTTTGGTAAAACCATTTTCAGTGAACATTTTAGTACCTCAATGCTGATGAGAATTGCGTAGATCGAATCTTGATATTAGTTGAATTGTCATCATCATTCTTTGATTGCTTTCTTCCCTATTGAATTCTATTGCAATAATTTGAAATTTTCAGGGCATCAATTGTCGGTATAGTATATGGTTATGCAGCGGTTTTGTCGTCGAGTCTTGTTGTTCCGATGGCCTCTCATGCGCTCAACAATTTGGTCGGAGGTTTGGTGTGGCGCCACACTTCCAAGCTCAAGTTGTTGGAGTGAAGATATTTAATAGTAGTAGTTAAGATTTTCAAGAGGGTTTAATTGAAAGTTGTACAATTTGAATGGGTTGTTTTGTCAAATAGTTATAGTAGAAGGTGATTATTGCACTTTTTATGTACCAATGTCTGTCACTATCACAAAGGACAAGTGAAAATGGATCTCCTCTTCATAAATTAATGATGTGTAAAGTGAAAAACCATTCAGAAATTCTCTACCTTTTTTAAAATGAAAATACTCAAGTACTGTTTCATGAAAATTATATTCCTTCTACAATTTCTCAAATTTACACAAAAACAATAGAATTCGAACCAAAAAAGAGTATTTTCAAATTAATTTATTATATTTTATAAAATAATATACAGCTTATAAATGGTTATAAAAACTGTATATTAATTTATAAATTTTGATAAACATGTTATAAAATAAGATTTTTAAGTGGTATTTTGATATTTTACATAAAATTGACTAGTATCCCTGTTAATGATGTTTAATTGAAACAAAAAAAAAATGATGTTTAGTTTGTTGGGAGAATAAATCTATTTTAAAATGTTTTATTGAAGAATAGTGTTACCCGAAGAGGAAGTGTTTTCTGGTCAAAAAAGTCAGATTGGTAAACAGAAACATGAACAATATAGAGAGAGACAAAGACGCGTCCTTTTTTCTGCGAAATGTGAATAATTTTAAAGTTGAAAATTCCCAAAAAGACATCAGAACTTAGATATATTTGTTAAAAAAATACACAAATTTTTTTGGCTATCTAATAAATACACCAATTATTTAAAATTGTTCTTTATATCCTCGAACTTTTAAAATGAGTTGGTTTTACTACATCGACATTAACGGTGTCAATCTAACTAACGGAAATTATTGTTTACTACATTACCTTTTTTTTCCCAAATCGATTTTGGGATTTAAGAACCCTAAAACCCCAAATTGATTTTGGATTTCAGTTATATATGCTTCATGCGACCATAAACGCGATCAAGCTTGAAATCTATGGATTTTGCCTTTTATGAAACTAAAAGAGAATATATTCCTGCAAACTTTTTTTGATTGTTATCATCTCATTTTCGGCAGTATCTATTCAAGAAATTTAAATATTATTTCACAAACAAAAACTTAAGGGAATTTAAATTGAAATCCAAAATCAATTTGGGGTTTTAGGGTTTTTAAATCTCAAAATCGATTTTGGGAAGAAAAATGTAATGTAGCAAACAGTAACTTCCGTTAGTCAGATTGACGCTGTTAATGTTGAGGTAATAAAATCAACTCATTTTAAAAATTCGAGGATATAAAGAACAAACTTAAATAGTTGGTATATTTATCGGATAGCCAAAAAAATTTGGGTAATTTTTCAGATGCAACTAAGTTCGGGTGTTTTTTGGGAATTTTTCCTATTTTCTTTGGTTTCTCTAAATTCAGATTTTCTTTTTTTTCTTTTGGGAAATTGTTCACTTTACCTTGACATTAAAGCAACAAGCTTTGAACAAAAACAAATTCAGCTCTGAACAGACAAGAGAAAAGCTCAAAAAACTCAGAATCGAGAGTGGAGAAGAGATATGCTTGAATAAACATGGCGGATGGATGTGCTCAACGAGGTGGTTGTCCTAGCGATTACGTCGCTGTCGCTATAGCAGTAATCTGCTTCCTCGTGTATGTTGT